AATTGTAGTTTATCGTGTGAATTTTTTAAATATTTGGTAAATGATTTTGAGTTGGTGAGTGATTGTTATATGCAAAGAGTTTGGTACTTTAGAGTGAAACTGGTTTGTGGTTGTAATGCTTGCAAGTTATTTTCTAATTTTTCAGGTTTTCAAGAAACTTACAACGTTTTTGAAGTCTTTGGGAGTAAAAGCTGTGTTTGACACAAGTTGCAGTAGAGACATAACGCTTATTGAAACTTGTAATGAGTTTATTTCTCGGCACAGACAGAGCCAAGAATCTGATGATGAAAAGTCTCAATCCTCCTTACCCATGCTTTCATCAGCATGTCCAGGTATGTAAGGCAACTGTATGATTATTAGCTTGGCTCTAAAAACTGCCATACACTGTATGTGAATGCATGGTGTTCTAAGATGCACAAGCAAACATTATTGTTAAAGCACAAACACATGCACAGAGAGATGGAAGAGTGGGAGGGGCAGAGGAAGATGATGTTTTAGCAGTGGAAGGAGGCTTCCTAGGTGAATACTGTCATATGAACATCTTTCTTTAATTGTAGGTTGGATATGCTATGCTGAAAAACAACTTGGATCTTATATTCTGCCTTATGTCTCTTCGGTGAAGAGCCCCCAACAAACAATTGGAGCTACTATCAAACATCATGTATGCCAAAAACTGGGTCTTAGGTAATCTTTCCATTAAAAAGATACTTATCCACTGGAGCCCTTTTTCTTATTGGAATTGGAATGCTAGGCATATTTTTGGTATGAGTTATAGGGAATGAGATTTAATGTGTTTTAAGCTTTAATTTTAAGGAAATTCTGCGTAGTTGTAGAACACCCAAACACTTGTGAATCTTATTGTCTAGGTTAATGTAAGTGAATGATTTAATTGGAAATACTTGTTTAATAGGCCAGAAGAGATTTACCATGTGACTGTGATGCCCTGTTATGATAAGAAGCTTGAAGCTGCAAGGGATGATTTCGTTTTCCAAGTGGATTCTCAAGAAACATATAATAATGAAGGTCCTATGATTCCTGAGGTTGATTCAGTCTTGACATCCGGTGAAGTCTTGGATTTGATACAGGTGAGATGAAGCTTTTCATTTGTTGTAATTTCATTAGTTCTCTGAGAGATTTTTTTTTTTTTTTTGAAAGTAATCATGACTTATAATTTTGTGTTGCTCTATGTCAATTTTGCAGTTAAAAGCAGCTGATTTTAAAGCCTTAGAGGAATCTTCTCTTGATAAGATGTAAGAATAAAGATAATTTTCTAAGGTTTTCTTCATGCCACTTAGAATTACTGATTAGATATAGAGTTCCTTCAACCTTCATGCAGGTTGACAAATGTTGATGAAGAAGGGCATCTTTATGGGGTCCCTGGAAGCTCTGGAGGTTATGCAGAAACAGTTTTCCGATATGCTGCTAAAATGCTCTTTGGAAAAAATTTAGAAGGCAAACTGAACTTCAAAACCATAAGAAATTCTGATTTCAGAGAGGTGGTTTTGGAAGTAAGTTATCTTTTTAATTTGGTCTCATCTTATAAGCATATGAGAAGCTTATCTGTCAAACATAAGTTTTTCTATTAATTGGGATATCAGTATTTATACATAATAAACTGGAGCTGGTGCTAGGCCTGAAGAGCCAGCTTGTTTTTTTATTAATTAAGCGTGAACCCAGGTTACCTAAGCCGCATGTGATGCACTTTATTGCTGTATGATTACTGCACAGAGGACTTACGTATTACGTTTTATTTGTGTTATAACATTTTGTTCCTTCTTATAATGTAGGTGGAGGGAAAAACAGTGTTGAAGTTTGCACTATGTTATGGCTTCCAGAACCTGCAGAACATTGTCAGGAAAGTGAAAATGCAGAAATGTGATTATCATTTTGTGGAGGTCATGGCATGCCCTGCAGGTCAACCTCTTTTCTAATATTCTTTTTCATCCCATCCTTCCCCCACAGCGCCGCCCCCCCCCCTCTTTCTCTCTTTTTTACTGGATTTTAAATGTTTTGTACATATGGATGTTAAATTTGTATGGTAGCACATCCTTTTTTCCATTTTAATGTCAAAGCAAAAAGCTGAGTAGATAGTAATGGGCCAGCATATTTTAAACAGGGTGCTTGAACGGTGGAGGTCAAATCAAGCCAAAGTCAGGGCAATCTCCAAAAGAATTGATTCAGTCATTGGAAACCATCTATATGGAAAATGTAAGTAATCATCTTTAGTCAAGAACTTCGTTTCTGTGACTTGTGGTCTTCTTGGTTAGCTTGTTTATAACTTGGAAAAACATATTAAGTTTTTGTGTAATGTTAGAGTTGGATTGCATAATCATTAAATGTGAGTTCCTTGAAATGAGTAATCACATGCACAAGCATATTATTGGTACGTGATTTTGTTGGTATCAGCCTAATTCATCAAACCTTGGATGGTTGTATGTGAATGAAAAGACCCCATTCTCTCTCGATGCATTATCCAATGTTAGCTGGAAGCCAAATATAGTCCATCAAAACACTGTTTATAAACTCCTTCGAGCAATATATTCAGAAACACCTTAATGATTAAAATGTACACTGTGGAAATTTGGACTGTATTATACTACACTTGCATGCAACATCTATTTGTAAGTTCTTTTTAATTATGCGCTTTATTCGCGTGCGGTTAGTGCTATATTTTAACATGATTGTTCTTTAATATATAATAGGTGTTGGCAGCCGATCCTTTTCAGAATCCTCTTGTGAAAAGCCTATATGATGAGTGGCTTGAGCAACCTGGTTCCGAGAAAGCTAAAAGACACTTGCACACAGAATATCACCCTGTGGTAAAGAGCATTACTGCTCAGTTACACAATTGGTAAACGAGTTATGGTTCAAACGCTTGATCCTATACAGTCTTGGATATTAAAACTCTCCTTGGGCCCCATGCCCCCCTGGAAGGTGCGACATTGTAGCAATCACATACACAACACCTCATACAACACTGGCCCATAACTTCTCAATCACAGGATTTCATTGCAGGGGCGTTCAATTTTGATAGAGTAAACAGATGTTGTCAATTTTGATAGAGTAAACAGATGTTTTCAATTTTTTCCCCTTTGTGTACATGCCGTATATTAGAATCTTGTTATACATAGAAGAAAAGGTTCCTTTGGTCACTTAAAACTCTTTGTTTTTGAATGGTCCAAATAAAGTTCCCTTCATTTATGCACATGGCATTTGTTTATGGACCTGTCATTCTCATTTTTGTACAATTGAACAGGTTTTGGGGAACGGTGGTGCCTGCCATGAAACGAAATAATAGTCATTGTATGTGTTGATTAAACTTAATAATAGAAATTGAAATTCATTTATTTATTTCTATTGTATGATGAGTAGAATTTGTACCTTTCAATCGTGGCAATGACTATTTGACATTGAATATCTGGACACCTATCTTTACAATAATGTTTTGCGTACAACTGAGTCAAGTAATCAAATAAAAATTACGCAAAATTTATGTAAAATGACTATTATATCTTTTGTTTTTTGTCTGTTTGTATGAGTCAGTTGTAAACATAACATTGCTCTTATTTTTAAAATGAACATATGTTTAATTGCTTGCACTCAACTCAAATTTTATGCACTTCAATGTGTCACTCCTGCCTTCCACATCTCAACACTGTTGCGATACAGCTTCCACAGCCAACCACAACCACCACACCTCCAATCTGCCTTCTACAACACAGCACTACTGGCGGCAGCCTCTCACCAATTTCCATGGGTACCACCAAGACAGCCACCGTCACAACCCTCGAATACTAAAGAGATTTTGAATTTTGATTTTTGCAGCTTCATGTAAATTGACCATCCTGCCTTTCTTTAGAACGGATTTTACTAATGGATCTGGCATGTGGGTGAGAAAGTGTCGTTTTGAAACATTTCGAGTGGGAAAGTGTCTTTAGGCCAAACCTTGCGTGGGAAAATGTGGTTTACTCTTTGAAAAACCATCTAGTAATGGATACACTTATAACTAACCAATGTTAAATCCCCACACGTCGCATGTGTATTCATTGACTGGAAGATTTTCTCTTTGAATGGATGTAAAGTCCCCTTTTTTACTGTCATTTTACACCATTCTAATTATGTTCTTTTCTGTAAAATAGAAGAAATCCGATGAATTGTAACATTAAAGTGGAAATAATAGATGGCATTGGCATCTAAATTTTAGATAGGTTATATTCATGTGTATCTTGGATATATATATATATATATATATATATTAAGAACTTAATATGGTAAATCCATACTAAGTAATTACTATTATAAGAAATACTCCGCACTTGGCGTCTTTTCAGATTAGGCATGGCAATGTTCCCCAGAATTCTGGGGATTTGTCTTGGCCCGCCCCATATGGGGCGGGGAAGCCCCTATCTTTTCGAGGATAGGGGTGGGGGTGGGGGGCATTTTAATCCCCGTCCTTGGGGATGGGGCGGGGGTGGGTGATGCATTTTCCCTCCCTCGTATATAATATATAAAATTAAAAATTATATATATACTTTTCAGTTTTCACTAATACCCTTATATTTCACCCAGTCACACAATTATCCTATATTTCACCTAATTACACAATTATCCTATCTATATAAACCCATATTTTTCTAATTTCTCTCACCCGAAACAATTGAACAAGAACAAACCCTAACCCATATTTATGTAAAATTAACTATATTTAAACAATTAATTTAAGTGTTTATCATATGGACGGAAATTAACTATTGTGTTTGGTAATGCTCAAATTAATTTATATTTATGTAAAATTAACAGGGCGGGGATGGGCCTCCAGTATCCCTCTTTGGGGTAGGGAAGGAGAATTTCTGTCATCTTCGTAACGGAGATGGGGTGGGGGTAGGGAGCGATTTTGAGGGCGGGGATGGGTACGGTGAATGGAATCTCCGTCCCATTGTCATGCCTATTTCAGATAGATTAAAAATGGAAGGTGAGCAATAAATAAGTCCTTACCATAACAGAAACCAGACCAAACCAAACGTAGACACATACTAAATCTGTTGACTTGGTGCTGTTAAGGAAACGACAAAGCAGAAAATCCCAAAAACAAACCAGACAAACATGGCTTGAAACAGGCAAACAAGTGTTTAATTTTCAAAGCCACGGATTTTTGAAACCAGGACACCAGCCCCATGTTTCCTCTTCATAACTCTTCTTTCAATCTTATGATTCCCCAATTATAGAAAAAAAAAAAAAAAATTAAAATAAACAGCCTTCTCTGTAACAGCGTCTTCAACATGGTAAATCTCTCATCTTTTACATTACAATTGTGGGAAAATAAAGATTTTGATTCATTAATATTTTTCTTTGGAAAATTTTGATGTTTTCTTTGTTTTTTGTTATTTGGGTTTGAAAGACTACCTCAAAGAGGCTTGCAGAGAGGAAGATCATCAAGTTCCAGAAGAACATAACGAAGAGGGGATCTGTTCCTGAAGCCTCAGTGAAGAAAGGAAAAGACTACCCAGTTGGCCCAATTCTGCTTGGCTTCTTCGTCTTTGTTGTTGTAGGATCATGTATGCCCTTTCTCTTTCTCACATTGCCTTTGTTGCAGATCTCCTTAAATACCAGCTCTATCTATGATAGATCTATATGGTTTTGACTAATTTTTCTGCCTGATTAATCAATCGAATTTCTTCATTGTTAAACTGATTTTTGTGGTGTGAAATTGCATGATATTTGCCTAAAAGATCATTATGTGAAGTTATGTAAACTTGTTCACATTGATTAAACAGAGTGAATGTAGACTGAAAATCCAGATCTCAATCCAGAAGTATAAGAATTGATAAGAGTTTGTGAAATTTAGTCTTTTTTTTCAGAACAGTTAGAACGTCCACAGAAGACATTGACTATTTATAATAACCATCCTTGAAGAGAAAAATAACTAAACATGCATCAATTGGCGTACTGTGGTTCTTGAAATTTGTTATCTGCATATGTTTTTATGTTGTATCTTGTATGGTTGTTGATGAATATTGCTGGATTACTAGTGTCCATGTTCTTTAAGAAAGACGATACATATTGATGTCATATCATCAAAGCATTTAAGGGTTCGGATATCCTTATGATACTTATAAACAGTTCATTCTTTTATCTAATTTATTTCCTCAATTCCTGGTTGCAGCTTTGTTTCAGATAATCAGGACAGCTCTCCATGGTGGCATGGCCTGAGGAATTCAAGGAACAACTCTTTTGATAATGTTATAAGCTACCTAAGCAGTAACTATGTTGAAGAGTATGTTAGAAAACTGTCGACTTGATCCATAAATAAAGAGGTTTTCTCTTCACTAATCTCAAATTTTCCCATTACATTTCCTCTGTCAAGTTCTTTGCAGATAAGTTTATCCCGCAACATAGTAATTCAAAGATATAGCCTTTCATTTATGGCAACTCATGGCTCCCTAGTCCATAGGACATTTCATTGATGAGTATTCAACTTCCATATCACTTTCCACTCTTTATTCATGTGCTTAAAATCAACCATGTACAGCAAGGAGCTATTGCCATTACTCTAAATCAAACACTGGTTTGATTGGATACCAAAGACTGAATATTCATAATCTAGAAAGAGGAAATAGAGGGTAACAAAAGAAAACAGAAGATGAAAGAAATGTTGCAGAAACTATAAATGACCCTCAAGCAGATTAGAAAGCGTTATGGTGCATTTGTCTTCCATAAGTGCGTTTGTTTTCATCTGATTTACGAGCTGCTCGAGCCATTCTGCTTCCTCTGTTTGAATTCTGGCAACAGTCGGAACTTTTGGATAGTTTCCTGTTGTGAGAATTGAACCCAACCTCACTGGAGACTTGCACTTTATTCTCAGATAAGCTTTCATCTTCAAGAGAATCATAGCCCACTGCCTCAAATTCCTACAATACACCAGTCGTTTAACAAATTTTGCGATGTAAATAATCATCTTAAATCTACCAATGATATCGTTGTTAGATTCGACGTGATACAACTAAGCAAGAAAAGATCAGAAATGTACAGCATACCTTGGACTTTGTCTTGGCACAATAAGGTGTTAAACAGGGATTCAAATCCTTGAGAAACATGTCATCTGGACTGCCAGGAGTTGTTGCATCCTCAGAGCTGAACTCCTGAATAAGTTTTTGAAAAAGATCAACCAGGCATCCATTGTAAATTCAGGTTTGGCCAACACAATAAATACAACTGTTATTTTAAATGCACATTTGAATGTGGGGAGCTTACCAGAGAATTAGCAGCCTCTTCATAATCATATGTGGGTGTTCTTGGATCACTACCATGTCGTTGTAAACCTGTTCTTCCTGAATGCTTTTCTGCCTTCACCTGTTTAACCAATTTAATCAGCCATCCAAAGCCAAACAAGTCTCTACTTAATTAAAATAGCAAGAAGTAAGAATTTAGTTAAGATTTACAAACATATTCAACCATAAAATCAAACTTAATTCATTCACCAATCTTATTGAATAAGAAAATGTATGAAATTAGAGCAATACCTCAGCAAGGCCTTCTGCAAGGAACTGGAGCTGGTCTGTCAGAGAAGTAACCTGTTTCTGTAGATGTGGAATGACTTGTTTGGCTTGTTTCAACTCAGAACCCTGCTTCTCTAGCAGTTCTTGAAGCTGAGAATTCATAGCATCTGGAAACAAAATTGCACTCTTTAATGCTTTAATCTCTTCCCTCTGCTTCAAGCACAAATCTTTCAACTTCTCTACCTGCAAATTCCATACAAATATTCGCATTAATTTCAGATGAACCCCATTTTAATTCTGCTCAATCAATCGCATTAAAATCAAAAACCATAATACAAACTTTTAGCAAATAGACTTACTTCACTGTTCTTCTCTTCGAGCAACGACTTAAGCTGAGAAATCTCCATTTCTTGTTCCTTATTAGCATTCAAAAGCTCTCTCTCACTTCTCAAAACCATGGCCAACGTTCTCGTATTCGCATTATTATTTCCTCCCTTCAGTTCTGTCAAAGCTTTAACCTCACTCTTCTTCTCCCCTTTCCCAAACAACTTCCTCTGTAATCCCCCAAAGTTCCCGCCTTTCCTCGCCGTCTTCTTCAGATCCTCCGCTATCACATCCGCCGGTATCACCAGCCCCATTGTCCGATTCCCCGACCCTTTTGTTGACGACAACGACGACGACGATTTCTTCTGCAGCACCAAGTTCTTGACCAAGCTGGTCAAGTTTTGATTTTTATTAGCTGAAGGTTTAGAATTGACAAGTGCACGCGAAGTTGAACTGGGTTTGAGGGTTTTAGTTTTGAGTTCTGCTGACGAAGATGGATCTGAAAAGTAAGATGATGTCGAGGACCTTGAATCGTACGAATTGTACCTGGTTGCCATTTCGAGCAAATATATGATTCCGAATCGAATGAAATGAAAAACAAGGTGATGATTTGATAAGTGAAAGATGGATAAACAGTTCCTTTGAGGAGAGAATTAGAAGAAGAAGAAGAAGAAGAAGAAGAAGGAGAAGATTTGATTTTAAGATTGAGTTTTGTCTGTACTGTTGGCAGTTCTTGCTAAGGTTTTTGAAAATGGGGTTTTCTGACAAGGTGATGACGTGGCATAAAGGCCGCTGTCTGAATTCAAATTTTTTGAATTGGCGTGAGCGGCGCGGGCTTGTAATTATTTATTTGACTTTTTGATTTTAAATCAGAGTTGGGTCGGATCTTGATGGGCCGGACTTAGAACTGAATGGGCCGAAATTTTGGAGGAATGGTTGATCCATCTTGTTATTAATAATGGGCCATTATAATCTCCAATGAGAATTGTTTTTTTATAAGAAAAAAATGTTAAAATAAAACCGATGTACCACGTCATTTGTATATTTATTTAATAAAGTCTTATTATTTATATATGTTGTGACTCTTGAAGTCTCACATCGCTCCTATATGAGGATAATTGAGTGTTTAAATAGGACTAATAGGCCTATACTCAATAGACACGTTTTTGGCTTGAAGCCCAATAGCAAAACTATGAGGCTCTGTAGTGCCAAAGCAAACAATATTTGATGAGCATCCATACTCGGTAGACGCGGACCGTGAGGCCCTGTGGTGCCAAAGCGGATGGACAGTCACATACAATATCTGCTCAACACCTATACTCAGTAGATACAGACCGTGAGGCCCTATAGTGCCAAAATGGACGGATGGGTAATATCTGCTAAGCACCTATACTTGGTAAACGCAGACTGTGAGGCCCTATAGTGCCAAAATGGACGGATGGGTAATATCTGCTAAGCACCTATACTCGGTAAACGCAGACTGTGAAGCCCTATAATGCTAAAGCGGATGAACAGACAATATTTGCTGAGCACCTATACTCGTTATATGCAAACCGTGAGGCCTTATAATGCCAAGTGGACAGGCAGACAATATCTGCTGAGCACCTATACTTGGTAGACGCTGACCGTGAGGCCCTGTAGTGTCGAAGCGGACAATATCTGTTACATTCATAATGATAGTTTTCATTGTACGTTTCATACCAAGACAAACATCCAACATCTATGAATAAATTGTTGAGAAAACAAATTTGAATTCAATTAATCATCAAATAACTCAAAATTAAAATTGAATTATCCATAACAAAATCTTTTCATTTACTTAATTAATCTAGCAGGATTTCCTACAGCAGTACTTCTAGGAGGAACCTCCTTCAAAACCACTGACCCTGCACCAATTTTTGCCTCTTCACCAATTCTAATGTTCCCCAAAACTTTAGTCCCTGCTCCTAATAACACCCCATCTCCAATTTTCGGATGCCTGTCCCCTGAAACTTTCCCTGTACCCCCTAGTGTCACATTATGCAAAATTGTCACATTGTCCCCGACCACGGCCGTCTCTCCGATCACAATTCCGGTGGCATGATCGATCAATATCCCCCGTCCAATTCTAGCCCCCGGATGGATGTCCACAGCGAAAACCTCCGAAACCCTACTTTGGATTAGTAGTGCCATACTAGACCTACCTTGTGACCAAAGTTTATATGCAATTCTATGAGCTTGGCAGGCTAAAAAGCCCTTGAAATGTAGCAAACATTGTACGTTACTTATGCAAGAGGGGTCACGTTCTCTCGCAGCCCTCAGGTCATCTCTGATAGCCGTCTGGATGCCATGATCATCACCCACAATGGTGATGAAAATTTGTGAAAGAGTGTCAATGGGAAGAGTGGGATGGCTCAGCTTCATTGCCAGGTGGTTTGCGAGAGCGGATTCTAATGAAACGTGTGATAGAATTGAAGAACAATAGTAGTTGAACAAAATGGGCTCCTGTTTGATATCTGATTGAGCTTCCTCTCGAATTCTGAACCAGAGGTCGTCATCATCTATGGCGTTATTTTCAGTTTCCACGAAAACCCTTTTGAGAGATGGACATGAAAGTGGATTCGACAAAGTGCGGTGGCATGATCTGTTGGAGTGGAGAGGATAGGATGGCTTTGAAGTTTGACAAACTGCCATTGAAACGAAGCAAAGAGAAAGGGCTGGATATGAGATTTGAAGAGAGAAATGGGAAGATTATATAGGGAGGACTGAAGGGAAAAGGGATAAAGGACATGAAGGAGGAGGAATTTCTTGGAAGGAGATGGTGATGCAAGAGGTGACGATTATTTTTGTGGTTAAAATATAAGAATGATTGCTCCAAGAAAGAATTCCGCAGCCTGCACGAAACCAAAACCTATTTCCAGTGAAGTCAACACGAAATTTTGTTAAACGAAATGAGAGATCAAAGAACGATCGATATGATTGAAATTTTATAGTATTAAAAATTATATTTTTCCTAAATCGTTAATTCGGTAGATTGTTATAGTGTTAAATTCCCTCTTCTTTTGAATTAGTTTTTGAAAGTGAATTCGACTCTAACTATTGAGAGTGAATTTTACATTATCTAAGCCGGCTTATATGTTTGAATTTCTATAATTAAACTACTCTTGATAATTGACTTTCTGTAAAGAAATTTATATTACAAATTAATATTATATGTATCTTTTAACGGAAACATCATATAGTACTCTTAACGTTTCTAAATTTATATCGTAAATTAAAATAAGATATTGAATATATAATATAAGTGGAATATATTAATAATTATTAAAAGTCTTTTAAGTAATTGTCTATGGTTTTGTATTATGGATCACATGGTTATGTTGTTAAGATTATAGAAGTTTTTGAGGGTTAAATTTAGGGTTATTTTTATGTACCCCTTCGAGATTGTTTTATTCAAAAAGCATCCCTTTTTTTTTTTTTGAAAAACTTCTAAAATCTTTTGCCAAAAGGGTTTTTTATGGGATAATAATGAGGCGGATTATTTTGCACGAGCTTTGGATTTGGTCATTGCTCTTCACCTCATTCCCCAATTGTTTTAAGTTGGATGAGGATGACGATACTTATATACAGATAGTTTTCCTCGTCAAACTCTATTCCCCAATTTATTTAAGTAGGGCAAGAACGGACATATATAAAACTATGTATTATAATAACATTATGATTAAATAAATCATAATATTCTAAATAAAACCTCTATAACATATTGTTGCAATATTAAAAAAGAGAAAATTTAAACAAGTCATAAACCAACATAAATTATAATGGAGAATGTGGTGGTTTGAATGGGGACTGGGGAGTACAAAATCCATCCCCTCCCTATTTTAGTACGAGCATTCAGTTTGCCCCCCAAACCCATCAAATTCCCAAATTTACACCTCCATCTTTATCCAATAGAGGCAATTCTTTACAAATACCTAACTTGTCAGGCATTTACCACCTAATGTTTATACTTTTACAGGGGTTTTAAAAATTTAGGGTTTTTTTTTTTTTTTTTTTATATGGTTTCCTAAAGTGGGTGCATTTAAATTAAAATATACAAAACAAAAATGTTTAAAAAAAAAAAAAAAAGAGTTATGAAGTTGAAAATAAGATTTGAATACATTGACATTAAGAAAATGAAGATGAATCAAAATAAATGAAATGAAAAGATTGAGATTTTGTATTTAAAGCAAATAAATCTACAATGTTGTACTTGGTATATTTAGCAAAGCAATACTAATGTAGACCGGCATGTGTCATAATCACAAATTATACTTATTATGGAGAGTTTCAACGTCGTTTAGTATGTGTCAGTGTGTTTATGTAAGAAAAAACAATGTCCGTTATGACGGCCGTTATTTTCTCTCTTTTGTAACCCTCTCTATATATATGTTTGTGGCTAGAGTTGTGAGACACTGCAAAAATATTTATAATCTCGCATTTTCTTCCTTTACTGTTAAACTCGTTTTGAGTATTCTTTGTTAGTCCTTTTATTACAGTTCCATTTCACTTTCTTATTTCTTGTTCTTGCTTAGTTTATGAAATCCTTTTCAATGTTGTAGCTATTTGAAAATTAAAGCATCTCACATTTATTTGTTTATTTTCTGTAGGTTAAATTATGGCAACACCTTCGAACATACCATCGCCGCCATCTAAAATTGGAAACAGTAATGAGGCTAGAGCAGAGAAACAATCAACATCAACTCCGACAACCATAAATACACTTATCATGGTATCATCAGAGGAAAATAATGAATCTTCAAATGCTATACTAGTAGCACCGTCAACTTCAGAAATGTTGAAATCTCCAACCATAGCACCTATTACGGTACCATCAATCGAAACTCCATCTAAGAAGAAAAAATCCAACGGTATGCATATTATTATTATTATTGTCATAGCGAATGTTTTTATTATAGAACTCAACCAAAATATACGGGTTCTCGTTGATATTAACCCTTAAACTTGAGGCTTTTGTGAAATTTGATCGAATTTCATATGGTAAAAAGGCCTGAATTTGTTGGGCTTCAAGTCCACAACTAGGCCCAAATTATCCTTAGCAGGATTAAACAAAATACCCAAAAGATTTTTTGTTTTTAATTTTAGTTTTTTTTTTTTGTTTTTAATTTTAAGAAAATAGTTTTTATTTCCAAATATATCATCTCCTTGTGTTTATCCATAAGAATTTCCTTAATTGACAACCGAAAACCTTTTAATAATTTAAATAATATAATAAATAAATAAATTTTCTTTTTAATTTATATTTGAATGAACCCAAAAATACAGAAATGGTAATTTTTCTTGGTTGGCACCAATAACTTTCTTGCCAAACTAACACTCACATTCACTGTATCAGAGTAACCTGAGACTGAGAGAATTCAAATCAAATTGACCTGTAAACTTTATTACAAAATCCATTGGTTCTCTCTGTTTGGCGTCACATTTGGCAATGACAAAACAGTAGTTACTCACTTCACTCTTCACTTGCCTTTTATTTAAAACAAATTCAATCCAAATCTTCCACTGAGATGCAAAAAATCTCAGAAATTTATGATTTTCATCTATGCCCATTAATTGTTACCCAGAAATGGAAGAACCCTTTTCCCAATTTTAGAAGATAATAATGTTTCATACTTGTTGAGAAACTTTAGGGTTTTTTACTCTCACTCTCTTGGTCCCTATAAATACCAGTCTCTTTCTTGTTCTTGTCATTGCAATTTAAGATATTCACTATTACATACATTTTCTTGTAAACAAGCAGCTGTTCTTCGTGAGCTTATTCAGCTTCAGAAAGATATGGGTCGTTCTCGTGGGAATTTTCACTCTAATGACGAGGACCCAACTCAAAGGTTTGATAGAGTCTTGTTTCTTGATTTTAGTTTATTTGTTTCTTGTTTAAATCTATATGCCAAATTTGTGTTTGATTGTTGCATTGTAGTTATGTGATTATTAACTTGTAAAGTGTTTATTTTGAAGCTGAATGTTTTGGAAGTAGAATGGCTTCTGCTAAAGTGTATATTGTGACTGTTTCTGGTGTTTGAGGAACAGTGAAGAAATACAATGTGTTTCTTTGTACTTCAGTCATTTTGCATTTCCTATGACATAATATTTACTCAAACTCCATAACGGCGATCATTGTTCTGCCTATATTTGTGTCATAGAGATGTTCCATTTTGCTTGTTTCACTGAGCATGTTTAGCACGTTTTTGAAGTTTTATCTGAATCCGGGTTTTGGTCTGTGCAGGTCTAGGAGAAAGAAGAATGTCTCCAGTGAAAATTCAGAATCGTCAGCTGCAGGTACTTTACCACCATAATATAATTGTAAAATGAAATCTCATAACTGGCTCACTGAGTCGAGCTGGGCCTTGGCTCTAAATAGTAATGGTCGTACAATGTACTCTTTTTTTATTTGATTGCAGAATATATTGCATTACAGAGATGTTGTTTTTATTTGCCAGCAAACTCTTATGACTAGTGCCTTTTCTTTTCCTTCTAAATTCTCATTTGAAACCAGGTCAAGGAGCAGGTGAAGGGAAAAGGGCTTTATACCACTGCAATTATTGCAACAAAGACATCACTGGGAAGATACGCATCAAGTGTGCGGTTTGTCCTGATTTTGACCTGTGTATAGAGTGCTTCTCTGTTGGAGCTGAGGTGACACCTCATAAATGCCATCACCCCTACAGGGTTATGGTTAGTAATATTAATCCCTTGCTTAGTTTATAAGAGTCCTCTATGGTCTATGTTTTTATAGATCCTGCTTTTTTGTTTTCCTTACAATATTGAAGTGAACATTTGCTTTTAACATCAGTGTTCTCAAGTAACTGGAAAGTTAAAATTTGTTTTGTAAAACATTTAACCACTTACTATGCTTGAAGCCTTGAACCTCTCCGCTCAATTGAAAATCATATTCTAACAATTGCTTTTATCATTTTCATATTTTTTCGTCATCTTGTTTATGTCAATTCATTTTTGGCTGCAGCTTTTATCAGTAATTATATATCCACGTTTTATGCTTGTGTTTATATTTTTCATTTTAACAGGACAATCTCTCTTTCCCGCTAATATGCCCTGACTGGAATGCAGATGATGAAATACTGCTTCTAGAGGTGTTTTGACTTCTCCTTTTCTTTTCTAATCCCTTCAAAAATTTGTGACCAGTCCTGCATGATTTGCGACAATATTTGGAATTTGGAGTAAGTGACTTGTGTTTATCCTACATCTGTTGAAATTTTGTATATTAGGGAATCGAAATGTATGGCCTGGGAAACTGGGCAGAAGTTGCTGAGCATGTGGGGACAAAGACCAAAGAACATTGTATTGAACACTATAACAGTGTATACATGAACTCCCCGTTCTTCCCTCTCCCGGTATAACATTTTAAACAAAGCCAGTTCTTTTTCAAGTTATAAATTTTTTGACAGAATAATTAAGTTATCAATTTTTTTCCTAGGACATGTCTCATGTTGTCGGGAAAAATAGAAAGGAGCTCCTTGCTATGGCTAAAGGGCATACTGAGGACAAGAAAGGTTTGTTATATTATAATCATCATTCACCTTCCTTTTAATCATTTTTATTCTTGTTGTTGATTGTTTGGTAGAATGTTTTTATCATGCATTGGGCATGCACTAGAAATGTTATGCATCATAACCTGGGCTAAAACTGTAGCCAGATCAGGTCATGGGCTTAGTTGGTTTCCAATTTCTTAGTTTTTGAAGAATCAATACCATATTAGGAGGCAAACCTATTCGGTAGCAAACAGATGACTTCTGATCATTTTGCATAGTTAATGTTAACTACTCCAAGTTAAATTCTTATTGTTGAAACTTCTTATCATCTTTTTTCCCTGAAATATAAAGTCTTATAATCAATTGCTTGTGGCTGTTACAGGATCAACCATGCTTGGGGAGCTAACTTTGAAGGAGGAATCTCCTTTTTCTCCTTCAAGAGTCAAGTATGGCTATCATTCTTATTTGCTTTATCTTAGTTCACCTCTGTGTCTTATGTATCAACATGGGAAAGAATTTCTAATACTAATTTTCTTAATTTATTCAGACTTGAAGAACCACATAAAGGTGGACCCTCTGGCCGTTTAATTTCTGGTTCGAATGCAGGTGAGCCTTAATATATTTGCTTGACTAGCTGGTCATGCACAACTCACTATCTATTCAGTAATTTCATGGGTATCACCCTTAGATTTCTGCCTTGTTTGTCAAACTTCAGAGGTAGAATCTGGGGCCTGTACTAATCGCACAAATTTGGCAGCTAAAGCTGCTGTCAAGAAGGCATCGAATATGACCCAGGTTAAAGATGGCCCCAGTATCATTAAAGTGGAAGGTCTGATATATGATGTTTTCTATAGATTGTGATTAGTTGTTATTAAATTTCCCTCTTCTCTAATGCTATGTTTTTCACTTTGTAATAATGCTTGTCAACTACATAGTCTTGGGATTACCACTGTTCATTTCAAGTTCTAACTGTCTCTGGCACTCTAAATACTGATGTTGTCGGGTTTGGATGATGGTGATTATTGTGGTTTCACAAATGCCTTGGCCATTTTCTTGCTGTTGCCACACCTGCACATGAATTAGTGGCACTCTGTTAGCTGATGTTGAAGTTGAAAAACTGTCCATTGGAATATAAGAAACCAGAGTGTTATCTTGTTTGTGTACAAGATGTTAATGACTTGTTAGAGGAGCCATAATCTAATATGTTTGTAGAGAGAAGTGGTGTTGTTCATTGATAGCGTCTTAATCTTATTGCAGAACCTCAAACGGAGAGGAGTTTCAAGGGGAAGAAACCGATGTCTTCAGCGAATGATGGTCCATCTTTAGTTGAGTTGAGCGGTTATAACCCCAAAAGACATGAGTTTGATCCTGAGTATGACAATGATGCGGAGCAGCTATTGGCTGAGATGGAATTCAAAGATACTGACACTGAGGAAGAGCGGGAGCTGAAGCTGCGGGTACTGCGCATCTATTCAAAGAGGTAAGTGAATAAGTTGAGTTTCTGACATGTTTGTTGCCTGCTATTACATTAATACATAATTCCTTTTAGATAAAATTGTGGGATCCAAAAGTGTCAATTGTGTGATAGTAAAACTGCATTAACAAAAAGAGAAACAAAGTTGCTAGTTGTACTTGAGGCTTACTTTTTCTGAGACCTCGAAGTGATTGTAGTTATATATAAAATGCAATTACTATTGTTGATTACATATGTTATGGACCGCAGAGTGAATTTTACTAAAGCCTGTCTTTGCTTTCTTGTATATGTTTTATGGTTGAAACAGGCTTGATGAGAGGAAGCGTAGAAAGGATTTCATTCTGGAAAGAAATCTGCTGTATCCAAATCCTTTTGAGAAAGACCTGTCTCCTGAAGAAAGGGCAATATGTCGGCGTTATGATGTCTTCATGCGCTTCCATTCCAAGGAAGAGCATGAGGAATTGCTTCAGACTGTTATTGCAGAGCACCGAACTCTGAAGAGAATTCAAGAGCTTAAGGTATGAAATAGAAGAGTACTAGTAGCTATATTTCCTTTAATTTAATAATAAGCTTATGCAACATGGTGCGATTTTGTTTTAACTTGGTTTTTTAAACTTTTTTTTTTTTCTGATTCTTTGTTGATACTCATGATTCTAATATAAGACAACTAAGATTCTACTAAATTATGCAGGAAGCCCGAGCTGCTGGATGCCGTACATCTGCTGAGGCAGATAGATACCTTGAGCTAAAAAGGAAAAGGGAAGCTGAAGAAGCTTCTCGCAGATCAAAAGACAGTGCTCAGGTTGGTCCAAGCAGTCAGGGTGGTGCAAACGCTTTCATGGCTTCGGAATCTGGTGGCAAAGACTCAAATTCAAGACCTGCAGGACAGGCTTCTGTGAGCCATGTAAACGATTTCGATATCTTGGGTTTCACTGAAACTCAATTACTGTCTGAGGCTGTAAGTATCCTATCCATAGTTTCTGAACCATCTTTATCACAAAATGAACATAATGCCTTTAGACACTTCATCTTTCCACTGGTATATTGAAGTTGCCTTAATTTGTGTTGGCAGGAGAAGCGCCTATGCTGCGAGATCAGGTTACCTCCACCGCTCTACCTTAGGATGCAAGAGATCATATCAAGAGAGGTTTTCAGTGGGAATGTCACCAAGAAAGCAGATGTTCATCATTTGTTCAAGATTGAAGCAAACAAAGTTGATAGAGTTTATGACATGCTTGTGAAGAAGGGGCTTGCTCCACCATGATAACATACATCTCTTGCTTGTAAATCTCTCTGTTGTATTCATTGTCATACAGAAATGAAAAAATTTTGTTTACTTAATCAGTGTTATCAAAGAAAGCATCCAAAACTAAATACATCTATAAACATCAGGACTTAAATGTAATCGGGGAAATGAATACTAACAAGATTAAGAAATCCCCTTATGGTAAAAGCTTATTCAAAGGGTATTTTCAATCTTATTGAAGACGTCTCTAACTTGGGAACCTACTCAGGATTCCCTTAATTTGAAGGATTCAAAATCCTCCCTGAACCTTAGTTAAGACACCTCATGCTCATTCATGAAGATACTTCCAACACCTAATCGCTCCAACATTGCAATACTTGATTACTTGTGAAGACTGAAGACTAGCATTACACATTCCAATAAATTTAAAATTTTTATGAAATCCCAATAAAGATTCTTCATTTAAGATTAATTTTTTCACAACTGATAGAAGATGACACATTATTCTAATGGGGACTCTGCATTTCAGTATAATTCTTTCATATCCAATGCACTGTAACCACCCAGTTAAGGTGTACCATGTTCATTATGCATTTATGGACACTCCTTTATTGGGCAGTTGTACTTGCATCGGATGCACAAATGAATTGTACCTGCATTTGATGCTACTAGGCTTGTCCCTCCTCCCAACCCACCTTCAAACAAAAGATTAGAAAAAAACTTTCTTCCTTTTCCACCTTCACTTTAAATGGGTCCAAACTGGGAATGGTTCATGCAAACAACAACGAAAAAATGATACCTCCGGAGTAATATAAGTTCACTGTTTGATTTCCTTAACAAACATAAACAAACTTAAAACCTTTACAGTTAAAACTTGACACTATACTGAAAACATAAACCTTTTAACATGTAAAAGAAAATTACAGAAGACACTAGCACACCAACTATAGGCGCAAAAGAACACCCATCAATTGACGACTCCTAAGATTGAAGTCAGCTACTTCTGACCTAATACAGATACTGCTAAATCTTAAAACTAAAACTTCTGATGCATATTTTAACCCAACCCTATATTGCTATACATCTGCCATTTCTCCTGAAGTTAGAAAACCTGAGAATCAACCTCTGAACATTTGTATGCCAACTCTTCTCTATCTTATATACAGGAAAACCAGAAAAAAACATCATTTACCATCCAGGTCAAAATTTCTCCACCGCTTTCTGTACCAACTTTTATACAACTTACGCAATCACTTGCTGAGCTTCTACTGCTAATTTCTTCTGGTTGGCAGATTCAATATCATCATCATCCAAAACCATCTTGGTCTCGTCGCCAGCATCTTGTTTGTTATTTTTGTCATTAACATCCTCATCCTCATCCTCATCATCTCCATCTCCACCTTTGTTAATTTCATTTCCGACATCGACATGAGGCTGCTTTCTCATATCAACTTCCTTCACATTTTTCAGGTCGTCAATCATGATTGAACCTGCTAATTCTGCTTCAACTTCTATAACAGTTTCAAGTTTGGAAGTTGTTATAACTTTCTGCTCCAGCAATCCACTGCTACCGCAATGCTGTGCTTCTCCAATAGTAGAGCACATTAAGCGCTTCAGATTTGAATTCATATTTGCAGAAATATAAGAGAGTATATCTGGATTTACCATTACATCAACCCATTTGTCACCAACCCAATCTTTGGAAGTCCTAACATCTTTTTTCTGGACAGTCAGGAACTTGTCTTCTCCTAAAATCACAAAAAAATGCACATTGTTCACCATGATGCCTATTGAGCACATGACAAAGAAAAGAACCAGAAAGTACCATGGAACATACCAGGTAGGTAAACTTGCAGGAGATCATTTCCAGAAATGTTGACACTAAATACAAGACCTTCCCACCATCCGTCACTCCACCATGCATCAACTGGTGCTCCAACATCAAATTTAAAGCCTGCAGAATCTTCTGGGGGACATGGTCGGATTGTCAGGCGGCCTGGGCATCTCATGCCCAGTTTATCAGGAGCTGCGACTCTACATGCAGGCACCCATTCCTACACAGTAAATAAAACATATAAAATTAAATATTTTCTGGGTTAAGTCTTACTATAGACAGACACACAGACTGCTCAAGTGATGGTATCAAGGGCCACCTCTTTAGCTAAAAGTCACCAGCATTATTAATATAATTGAATTGTGTACCAGATAAAAGACACACCACCAACAAACTTTCAGTACAACCTTGAGAAATTAAAAAGAAAAAAAAAAGACTACCTCTAGATTTCCAGGACCATCAGCATCCTCCACATCGTCATATTTAACTTTAAGATGCTTCTGAGATGTTTGCAAAACTTGACACCTAAACCAGCAGCCTCGAATGCCACTGTCTTGACAGAGCAATTCTATTTTTTCATTCACCTCAAATGAAACAGGACATTTAGGCTGTGGTAAAACCACCTTTATGCCCATTGTTTTTCTTGAAAACCTTAACTTTAATTTTGGGTATTTCTGTTCACCATTCAAAATTTGGCCAGCAGGAAACTTATTTTTCACACCAAAACCACCTTCCAGTCCCTCTTGCCCCTTACTACTTCTACTTCTTTTAGCACTCACCCTCACAGGATCCTCATCTTCCTCATTCCTTTTATGGTACTTCACCTTCTGCTTGGACACAGTAGGGGATAAAGCAGAGAAGATTGCTTGATTAGAGTAACCTCGCAATTTAGTGAGAGTGAAGGGTTTAATCTTATTGTTTTTTATCTGCCTAAAGCAAATATGGATACTTGAGGTTGAAGTATGAGGAACAGCAGCCACACATTTCTCATAGTGCATAGGAGTCAAGATTGTTGCCAGACCGTCAACACTCTCTGCACTGATAACTTGAACATGAGCTGTGATGAAAACTTCTCTAGGATGTGGATGCAAATTAGGAATTACACCTTCAATTTCCTGATGGTGGTGAAACCACCGCACTTTCACTTTCTTCTGCCCCTTCTTGTCTTCATACATATCTTCCAAGTATGCAAGGTAGTGACTTTTTTCTTCAGCCATGATAAATACAAAAGAATGAACCTAGATGCCAGGGACACGAAGACAAAAGGAAGCAATCTTGTCGATCAGAAGCAAATGAGAAAAGTACCAGCACTAAACAAGAACAGTTTGTTACTATGAGTAAATAATTGACTAAAAAGTTGCATCTTACGGCTATTGTAGTTCCATTCCTGCAAAAAGATGGGTAGTGCTTGAGCTGTTTAGCGCACATCCAGGCAACACCAGACCACTGAATGTTTGAATGTTGAACTCTCAATTTCCTCAGTACCTGTATTTGCATTTAAAACTCAAACCTAACAATAAAAGAGAGTATGAAAATCTGCAAAGCAGAAATAACAGACCACAAAAGATTGATACCATTGAATCCGTTAAATGGGTTTGATGAGTAATTAACCCAGCCATCAAAAGATCAAGAGATCCGAAATCTTGTTGAAGACCATTCACCTGTGAATCTGCCATGAAAATATTAGTATTATCCATACATTTGGTATAACAGTAGACAGAAAGAGTAATTTAAAAAAAAAACATCAAAATTATTGAGCCTTCCATCTATGACTAAAAATGTAATTACGTCATTATGACAAATGTGGCAAGAGAAAGTATGTATATATATCCAAGATTGACCATGTGTCAAGGTTTTGTAAACACCAAAAGTCAAAAAATAGAGAAAAAAATCAAGTAATTATGAACCAAATAACCGCCTGCTTTTTTGGTAACCACTACCAAAGGGGCAAGATTATGACAGAAGAAATAAATAAAGCTATATAATACACCAATCCTTACGTGATTTTTTCAGAATAAATATTTAAAACTTTGAATACCTGAAAATTGAAAGTCAAAAAAGAAGCTTGGCACATTCTCACATGATAACATGAATTATGCTTTGTACTAGTTTCATTCTTACTACTTCCAAGTCACGTAGACTCCAAGATAAGCATGCCTTAGATAAGAACAAACACAATCATCTTACGTCTACATCAAACCAAATAAACGGAGGTAACCCAGGTGTCAATAGATTTCTATGAAACCCCTATGGTCCTTTTTCCCTTCATGAGTGATATGATCAACTGCATCACAATTTGCATGTTTTTATTGCTAGCAATGGTTGATGAAACTCGAGAAAGCATATGCTAAGTATTGAAATATCTAAAATCAAAATTTTCTTTCAAAATTTAATGAAAATAACTATATGGAATGTGAAATCGACAATTTGCCAAAAAATGAAGTACAACAATACAAGATTGACAAATGCAAGACCCACAAACGATCACTTTCTACATGCCAATTGATCAACCAAAAACGTAAAATGGCAAAATGCAACAAATTTCCTGAAGAAATATTAAAAAAGAAAAAAAAAAAATTGCACGAAATGCAAAATCAGCAAATTCAAGGTAAAAGTGAAATATTCCATTGTTCTTGCCATGCATGCGCAGCGAGAGTTCCCAAACACAATTCTATGCATGCCTAAACCCCATATCTTGTGCCACGTAAGATCCATCATTAGACAATACTAGCACACCACAACACTATAGAAAGATTAATGATAATGAAACCAATTTAGAATGCAATAATGGGATATAAACTAGAATCATTACATAACTATAGGTGCAAAAAAGGCTATTAAATAAGGTTCCAAAAAACCATTAGCACCTTGCTCCAATAGCCAAAATGAAATGGCCATTACTACTTTGGAAACTAAGAGTAAAGAATACAAAAACAACATCTGTGTGCTACAATACAAAATAACATGCTACCAAAAAGGAAGCATAGAGGAGAATGCCACATAATTATAGCGATTTTTAAGGTTCAATAATTAACTTAATTCCTCATGCAAAGCCCAAAAGTCTTGGCGAAAAATTCACGGCAGTCCTATGTCTTTCCCTCAGGTAAAATCGGATTGGAAAGATTGAGGAAGGTAAGGTAACAGATGTATGACATTATGACATGGTAAAAGAACAGGAGGGTCAAAAGAGCTTAAAGAAATAATCACCCTATCCAAACACGTAATGTACAGCCTCTCTGTATAAGAAAAAGACTGTTTTATAAGTGGGCTTTCAGATTTACTTACAATAAGTTAATGGTAATGATACTTTTCATAGAAAAAAATATATTTTACAGTCTTAAGATTTCAACAAGAATTCAAATACATTCTTTTGACATCTCTGATGTAAATATTAAAACACCAATGCTGTTGCAAACCATAGATAGAAAGTTATTATGTAGTCAACTTCAATCAAGTACACTTACCGCCCATAAAATGCAATCTAAAACAGAAAAGATGATGAAAAACACGTGAAAAGATAAACATGCTGTATCTCTAACAAAGGGCAACGTTGAACAATAATTAAGGCCAATAAACAAACAACTGATATCGATGATGTAAAATACTTAACTACCTCAAGATACTTCTGATGGCAAGTTATTAGTTAAGCCCACGTGAGTATGCATGCATGCATGTAAGATATACACGAGAACAACAAAATCAGGAATACTAATTAATACTAAAAAGATGGGCATCCAGTTCAAATATCATGGAAAAAGAGTTCCAATTACTATTAAATACTCACTAGACATAACACATAATCTACAACTCACAAAGAATTTTCAAATACTCTCATAAATACTGACAATGCCAAGAGATAAAATAACCTTGTGCAACTGTACGTGCGTACATATAAGAGAAAGGGACTGTAAGAGAATATCATATAAATTTTGTATCAGAAGGTAGGGAATATTGTTTCGATAGTGAAATTAAGGATCCTGTTATTCATGCTACAATATACAAAAAACTAGATAATTCAACATTGAATAAGAAAATCTGAAAGGTTGAATATCAGTGACTAGAACTCAAAAGATATTAAGGTCCATAAAATGCTTCACCCAACCAGTAGGATGGAACTAATGCAGCAAGCCATGACAAAGTCAGAGAAGAAAAATAAATTTTCACATTCCATTTCGAGGAGAAAGCGGCTCAAATAGTAACTAACAACCCGGCATGCAAGTTACAATCCTACCCTAACTGTTCAATTGCCACCCTTCTATCATGTAAGGCAAATCATAATTGTGCGTTTTAATGCTACGTCGTTATTCAATTACAAAAAACAACACTTATGGAATAATTTCATGCTACGTAAACTTGAATATTGACGATTATAGAACTTGCAAATGCATTCATTACATACTTGAAAAATCAACCGGGGGTCGACACTTCACAACCAGTGATGACAACCAGTCTACAACTTCTCGTCTTGCTCGCCATTTTGTAGACGCATTGATAAATCTTTCTGACCCATAAGCATTCAAGAACTCATCTGAAACAACATACATCATGTGCCTTATACTCCTCTCAGTGCCTACAACTGCAAGCACCAAATCCCCAAATGTATCCTTCAAGTAAAAGTGAACAACACGGTTACCACGCTCATGGCATATAATGTGCTCTTCCCAAGCAACAAAACCATGCGTATCTTTAGACATTTTGACAATGAAAAGTTCCACAAAGCTTTCAAAGAACCCCTTTTCTGCTACATTAGCTGAAAACAAGTGAACAACAATTCAAGCAATAAGTTTTTGACACTAAACTAACCCACTTAAGTTCACATAAACACAATTATACCCACAACAAGGAACCCTAATATGATACTTAAAATATCAACAAAACCCTAAAAGCACTAAAACAAAGCCATCAAATATATAAACAAATTAGAGAAAACCCAGTAAAGTTAAAAGTCTCACCATGGCGTTGGTCTCAGATTATCAGCTTTATGAACGAACAAAGTCCCACCAAGCACTGCAAAACAAGCCAGCAAACCAAAATAGACAGAAACTAGGGTTTGAAAACCAAAACCCAAGTGAAGAAAAAAACAAACTTTCCGCGGCTTAACTCGAGAAGCTAAGAACAAAAGAGCTCAGTCGGTTAAGACTTAACAGGGTTATCTTTGTTTCTCTTTTTATGTTGTTTTTAACGTTTAGGTCTAAGCCAATTCAGTCAAGAGACACAAGAAACAGAGGATTCACACACAGAATGAGAGAGGCTGCAGCCTTGCAGGACAAGAGTCAAGAGGCCATGACCGAAGTGGAGCACAAAGAAAATACTAAACAGGGGTAAAAATGGAATTTTTAAGCTACATGAGGATAGTCTTCTAATGTAACGGAAAAAAAAAAAAATAATAACATGATGAACCCTAATCAACACGTGGCGATTCAGAGTGCTTCGATGTCATCAATCAGAAAACAGATGAAGTTTTGATTCCTTGACCTAAAAAAGTAGTCTTGTTTTAGCCATTCAAGGGGTTTCTTGCAAATCTTAGTGTGGGATTTTTTTGGGAGATAAAATTTGACTAAAAGTGATAGTCATCTTTATACTCAATCTATTGCTTTATCTAAATGACTTTGTCTTTCGGTTATATATTTTTCAACGTTTAGTAACCACCTAAGGAAAATAATATATAGTTATTAAAGAATGTATACCGAATTTATGCATCGAATAACGTGACGTCATCTTGACAGTCGATTAATTATGAATTTCTTTTTTTTAAGAAAACAGGATGGTGCCACGTCATTTGATGCATAAATTCGATATATATTCTTCGATAACTGTGACATTGCTTAACCATCTAATGCCTTCCCTAAATCAAAATTTATGCATTTACCAAGGCCATAATACTTTTATCAATATCTTGGTCTGTTTGTTTAAATATTTTTAACTATCTTATTCATACTATTTCAAAAATACCAATTTTGTTTCTCTATTTTGAAAATACTGTTATATTTTCTTTAATTTTTTAGACCCCTTAAGTTTATTAATTTAACTAAATACCTCCAGAAAAAAAGTTTAGAAATTAACAAAAACACTCCTACCTACCCACATTTACCAAATTCTAGTCACCACCGCTAGAAGGTGGTCGGAATATGATATAATGGCGCACTACTGGCTAGATCTGACCGGTACTGCACCAATCTATCATTTTTTGGCCAGATCTTTGGTCGTAGCTGGTCGTTAACGATGGCCATATCTTTGGCCGTTGTTGACAACCAAACATGGCCAGATTTGGCCGTCAACGGCCAAATCAAGCCATAGATCTGGTCTTTTTCGATCAGATCTACGGTGGATTTTGCTGGAAAAGGCCATCTTGGCGCACGACCTGCCAGATTCAACCAATCGTGCGTCGACACGACAACTCTGACTACCCTCCGATTGTGGTGGTCGGTTGTCAGAATTTAATGACAGGATGGGGGTGTTTTTATAATTTTTAATGTTTTTATTACAGGGGTATTTAGTTATTTAACAAACCTAAGGGAGGTGTTTTTGTTAATTTTTAAATCCTACCTCATTATTCCCACCAAATTATAAAAATATCAAAAATACTATCTAAAATACTAAAACAAACACACCATTGACTTTCATTGGGAGGAAAATCAAAGAATTTAGTTGCTAGTAGGGGTGATTACTGGAGGGTACATCCGATCGTTAACTTTAAAAATCCTAAAAGATTAGTTGAGATGCGTACAAATTAGACGAACGCCCAGAAAAAAAAAAAAAAAAAAAAAAAAAAAAAAAAAAAAAAAAAAAAAAAAAAAAAAGAGAAGAAGATTTATTTGGAGACAGTCTGGGTGCTTTCACACTGAATTGGAGCCTCAGTTAACGACGTCTATATATTTTTAACAAGATAAGGTTGGGAATGGGAGCCAGGAAAAAGCCACAACCACCACTCACTCACTCATGGTAGTGGACTGGCTAGTTGTAGCATCTCTCACGATCTGAGCTCAGAAAGACACCAAAATGAAGACCTTTACAGTTCTGAGAACCCAATTCTACCTCCCAACATTCACCAATCTCACCAACTCAACTGCTAACCCTTCATTTTTTATCCCCATCAAAACCACTTCTTGCCTAAAACACCCCACTTCCCATTCACCTTCAAGAATTGTCACCCGCACAAGACAAACTCTGGGGCACTCTACAGAAACCTGCCACATAGACAAGCCCTTAGTTTTAGAATCTGGAAGAGAGTTTCTTCAAGTTTTGCCAGATGGGTATTCAAGGTTTTTGTTGCTTGGAGCTGTTTCTGTAGGATTTGCTTTGTTGTTTATGGGATTAGATGACCAAAAGGCCTTGGCTTTGGGGCCTGAAGGTCCTTTAGTAGAAGAGTTCTGGGAAAATGTTAGGAGATATGGACTTTATGCTCTTACAGTGAGTACTGGTGCACTTTACACCATCCTTTTGCCCATATTTGAGTTGCTGAAGAACCCCATCTCTGCAATTCTCCTTTTGATGATTTTGGGTGGTAGCATCTTCCTTATTTCTCAAGTACTTTCAGCCATGGTTGGTGTCACTGAATTTAATTATGATTATAGCTATTAGATTGAGAGTATAGTTTTGGTTTTTCTATGCAGATTTATTTGTGTACTTAATTTTGCAGCCTTATTTTCATTTTATATATGCAAACAGCAGATAGAAGGCTGATTAGCATGGGCCAAATGTTGTGTTAATCAAAACTCAACCATTGTTAAAGACTAGAATGGCATTGCAACAGTGATAGTGTTTCATTTTACATATATAAACACCAAATGCTGTTGATTTTGTCACGCCTCTACCAATGCAGAATTTATCAACAATTTGCGACCGAACAAAAGCATTCTAGTCTCACACCGACTAGGCACGCTTAAGTTCATTGGTTTATAAACACCAATTAGACACGCTCAACTCTACTAGTTTATAAGATTGGGTATACTCAAACCTACTGATTTATAAAAAAGGTAATCCTCTAATTCAACAAGGTTTTATCGCCTGATTCTATCAAAAATTAAACTAATCTTACAGCCTCAATTATCACAATAGATATCAAGCTAGCTCTTCAAAACAACAGATTCTGTCTAAGTCTTGCAACTATTATATAGCATTGTTCATTTCCCATTTTTATTGAGGAATCACAGTGTATGCTTATCATAGACAAAAACAGTAGGTACTCAAAACATATACACTATCAACATTGGTGGGATGGATCATCACTTCAGCAGCAAGCAACATTGGATATTGTTAAAGGGTAGCGAAAACTGTTAGCATACTGGAAGGAGAGAGTTTCTCCAGGACCAAGAGGCTCTCCATCATTGACCAGGCAATCATCATAGTACACTCGCCTAAACACTCTGGGATTTACCAACCGGGCAGAGCTGAACCATCCACAACTTACATGAATGTCGGAAATGCTACAGCCTGAGACACACACATTCAGGATTTGAACTGTGTATGAGGGAATTCCATTAGGGAGTGGAGCTGTTGAGCCTTGAAATATCAAAATGTCATCCTTTGAACAAGCTGTACCAATCCTATTTCCGTCACCATCATCTGCATCATTGTAAAGTATTAGGGCCTATGATTTTTCTATTTTGGACCTCCAAGTGGAGACTCTCTCAACCTAAAAGGCCTGCCCAGTGAGCCTGGCTAGGCCTGGTTAGTTTTTAGTTGATGAACAACAACACAGGCTGAAGTCCATTTCTAAACCAAGGGCTCTATATAGGGACTTTGCCCTTATCAAACTATCAAAGTCAGGACCCAGGCTTTAATGTCTATTTACAAAGTCCAATTCAAGTTTAAGGCAATTTCACAAGTTCCGAAGTGATTTTTAGGCTCCATCTAATTTAAATTAATGTTAAATTTATCAAAGCAAAAAATAAATTTAAAAGTGGGGTGAAGATCAGAAATAACATTATAATTTTTAAAATTTTAAATGTATTTATACTTTATTTTATATATATTTTTTAATTTTTAACATTGAATCTTACATAAACCCTAATCCTAAATTTTTAGAACCTAGTCCTAAATTTTCATAATCATTGAAACATTTTGTTTTATTTTAACTATTTGTTTGATGAAGATATAATACTAATAAAACTATAGAAAATATAACGGGATGAATTTAAATCCGAAGATGAATGATTTAGTTAACGACTGGGTAAACTCTCCAATGACCATCCCTATTAGGAACCGAGGTGACTTGAAATTAAGACATCTTTTAGGACATCTTGAGTAATATACCCAAGAGTCCTTATCTTATCACTCGACTATCCAAGGGTGGTTTAACTTGATTATTAATGGAAAACCCTTAGTTTGGCTGTAAAACTCTCCTTAATTCAATGAACTCATTAATTAGTGAATTAATACTCTCATTATTTTACAGTAACCAGCTGTAACAAAGAGTAAGGAGTGATGAGGAGTGAGGAGGAGGCACTGTTACCAGGAGACTGCAATAGCTTGCGAGCAATGGCAGTAGTGTTTTGCTTGGAAAAGACCAATCTTTTAATGCTGCCATGTTTAACCGGTTCAGCAAGAAATAACTCCACCCCTGCATGCATTTTCACCAACATGTTTCGTTTCAAAATTTAAAACTTTTCCCAGCAACTCAATAAATGGTGCAGCCCCTCTTAACTCTATCATAAATTAATTAGTACATCGCAGCAGACAACAGTTTAAACTCAAGGGTGTTTTTCATTAAAATTATATGATACAACAAAACCAAACCAAACCAAAAAAAACCCTGTTGCGTGCATGCATGTTCATCTATATTTGCACCAGAAACACCCCCATTATTTGTAATTATTCAATGCAAAACTTCTCATTTGATCCAAAAGTTAATATATATATAAGTTACTCCACACAGTTTGAAGTTTTGTGATTCAATATTGGGACACAGCGTAAAGCAACGGCTGCATAACGTTTTCTGAAAAGTTTTGCACAAAATCAGAAGTATCACAAATTTACGTCCACTTATAATTAAAGTCCGAATCTAAAGCGTAGACCAGCAGAAAACAAAGAAATGACTAAAGTTTTGCCAGTTTTAACGATGCATTTTGTTAACCAAGCAAAACATTTTTCAGTTAATCATCGGGGTTTTTCAGAAACACAGACGTTTGCACGATAATGATACTCGTTTTAGAGAGGTTAGAGATGAGATATAAAGATCTACGACGTACCAAAGTGAACAGCTAGCAATATAGCAAGAACCACAGCCACAAAAAGCATGTATATTCTTGGGATATCAATGATTCTGTGTTTGAGCTTC